CCTCTCTCTCTCTCTCTGTCTCTCTCTCTCTCTCTCTCTGTCTCTCTCTCTCTCTCTCAGATGTTAACATAGGACTTGAAATTATGCGGTCCTTGTTTAGGACAGTAAACTGCATACTCAGCTGACTCGAATAACACTTCAACGACATAGATTAATGACACTATGCATATTTTCATTCATTCTTGTTTTTGTGGTTTTCTTAAGTGTTTTGTTTTTTCATGTAAATAATTTGTATCTGTTGTTTTTTCTGATGTTCTACGGACGGACTGTAAAGAAAGCGGTGATATTGTGGACATATGATCCAGCCGAAAGAGACGCGAGGCTCGCGAATGAGGCGCTAAAGTCGAAGAGGAAAAGCATTACACAGTTGCAAGTGATAGTCGAGATAGCATGTGCCACTTCGCCTCATCATTTGGTGTCTGTAAGGCAAGCATATTGCTTTCTGTTCGGCTCCTCGCTTGAAGAAGACATCATATCCAATGTCTCTCTTCCTGTTCAAAAGGTATTTATTTGTTTTTATTTTTTTTTGTCAATTGAGAAGAAGAGAAGGCTTGTGCTTATGTTTAATCGCTTGGGGCACTAATACTAACTGATGACTTTCGGGACAGATATTGGTTAGCTTGGTGAGATCCTACAGGTATGATAAAGAGCTGGTGGATTCTAATGTAGCCAATATCGAGGCAGCTAAACTACACGAAGCGATTGAAGCCAAGAAACTCGATGATGATGAGCTCGTGCGTGTACTAAGTACAAGGAATATTTATCAGCTCAGAGAGACTTTCATGTTTTATAAAGATAATTATGGGAAATCCATAGATCAGGTTATATGTTTATTATCTAGATCATCGAAAAACGGCTTTTTTCCTTTTTCTTTTTTCTTTTGAAGTATTCTGATATTGAATATTCTACTCTACAGGACATTGTGGCTTGTGGGAAGGGCATTTTAGAGACTATTATGAAAGTCGTGATTTGGTGCTTAGACATCCCAGAGAAACACTTTGCAGAGGTAATTGAAAATCTAATTTTTATTATCAATCACCTTCGTCCCTGGTAAATTGGAATAACATTAAAACCGTTTGAGTATGATATGGACATGTCCAGGTTATTAGAGCTTCGATTGTGGGTCTGGGGACAGATGAAGATTCATTGACACGAGCAGTCGTGACTCGAGCTGAAATCGACATGATGAAAATCAGAGGAGAGTATTTCAATGCCTACAAGTCGAGCATGGACAATGCGGTTATCGGGGACACTTCAGGGGACTACAAGGACTTCCTCATGACTTTGCTTGGATCAAACATATGATCTGCTTGTTTTATCTTGGATAATTTGTGTAATATTAATAATAATAATAAAGATGGTGTTGGATTGGAAGTTGAAGATAATAATAAATAAACATTATACGTACATGTTCTGTAGTATTATGCAACTGTATTATTTAGAAAAACTTTGAGCTGCAATTCATAGGATTTTGTTCTCTTGATGTGAATGCATATTGTACCATTTGGATGGTTATCAATTCCAGAAAAATTACCAATGGAAACTTTTGTGTGTCTGTTTTGTATGTACTATCAAACATACGCGATATAGTACATAAGAATAGCTCGGTAGAATCGGTCAAGGTTAGCTCGGCTAAGGGACCGGAGACGGGTGGTTTAGAAACAGCTCACCAATATTAATAGCTCGGCACAGAAGTAGCTCGGGCGAAGACATTAATATCAGTAGTTCGGCACATGAGTAGCTCGAGCGAAGACATTAATATCGATAGCTCGGAATAGGAGTAGCTCGGCTTTCATGAGGCTTGTAAGTATTAGCAGAGCGGCATGGAAGCAGTTCGGACAGTATATGCCCTGGTGAGTAAAGGCTTTGCAAGTCTTGAGCTCGGTATATTGTAGCAAAGATATTTTATAGCCAAGGGTTGACCTATAGAGGCGGCTAATTACAGGATGTCCATAAATGACGCTTGTAGGGCCGAGATAAAAAAAAAAAAGAATAAATTATCTAACGGACGAGAACAAGGAGAATTCAGGAAGCTAATAACTCTATATACTCTAAGCTATTACATACTGTTGAATACCAACTTTCCATAACCGGACTTGATCGTCGGAGGTTTTTTTGCTGGTCTATGGGGAAAAAATCGGTTGAGGATCGTTGGAAGGCCAAATCGAGGTGCGAGAGCACATCAATATGTATGTTCCCAAACTTTTCAAATGAAACTGAATAAGTGATAGGCACAGAACAACTTGGTAAGTAAGAATTACGGCCGCTGAGTTTTATCCTTAATTATGTTCTGACATTCCCTATGAGATGCTATTTTCACATCTCCATCAATCAGGATTATCTGCACTCTCTCTATCCAGATACACTTGTACACATCTATTTTCTTGTACAATCAATATTAATAGATGATTTGTTTCGCAGTTAGAATTTATGGATAACAAATTTGATTTATACATTAAATTTAACTAATTTTTTGTTGGAGTTTTAGATAGAGGAATGATTCTGTTGCGGGACTGTATTATTTCTTCATCGTTTACAAGCTAAATGACATAGCCAGAACAAATTACATTTATGTAGAGAGTTAGGCTACCAAAACGAGATAGCCAGAGATTGAAAGTTGACAATAAGGAGTAATTAGACAAACAATTGGGATTTATTCCTAACTCTAAGAGGAGGTTGGCAATGCTACATAAGGCACTTTGAAAAACTATACTAGGGAATTCACATATTACACAAGTATATAAAACTGCCACTATATGAATTGAGTTGATGAAGTGAAATTGATTTTGTAGGAGCGGCAAAGCCTTAAATTATTTGGACATGGCATTAACAAGGTAAGTATGATCTATACATATTTGTGGGGTTTTGTCAATCTGCAGCATGATGGCTAATTACTTCTTATTAGGCTGGTGGGCAAAGTGGGGCTTGTGACGGGCGGGGCCAGCGGTATCGGGGAGAGCATCGTGCGCTCGTTCTTGAAGCACGGCGTCAAAGTCTGCGTGGCCGACGTGCGGGACCCCGACGACCTCGGCCTTGTTGGTAACAACAACGTCTCATTCGTCCGATGTGATGTGACTGCGGAAGACGACGTGCGGCGAGCAGTCGACCACTCAGTCGAAAGGTTCGGCGGCCTGGACGTGATGGTGAACAACGCGGGCGTGCTGGGCCCCACGGCGTGCAGGGACATCCGGGAGTACGACGTGGCGGAGTTGGAGCGAGTGCTTGGGGTGAACGTGAGGGGCGTGTTCTTGGGAATGAAGCATGCGGCCGCGCATCATGATCCCGAGGGGAAAGGGGTCGATAGTGTCCATGTGAAGCACGGCGGGGGTAGTGGGAGGGATGGCGGATCACGCGTACACGGGGTCCAAGCACGCGGTGGTGGGGCTCACCCGGAGCGTGGCTGCGGAGCTCGGGAAGCACGGGGTGCGGGTCAACTGTGTGTCCCCATACGGGGTGCTCACAAGGATGTCGCTGGCTCAGGCACGCAATATGGAGGAGGAGGAGATGGTTGAGCGGATGAGGTGGCTGAATGAGAGTGTGGCCAACCTTAAGGGAGTGGAGCTGACGGTGGACGATGTTGCGTGCGCGGTGGTGTTTTTAGCCAGTGACGAGGCACGGTACGTGAGTGGGGCCAACCTCATGGTCGACGGAGGGTTCACCTCCACAACCCACGCTTTTGAACAACTTCTTCGGTGAAAACTACTTTGATTATCATAACAGACGGCTCATTACCGGTAGTCATGTGACCCCTTGAATCTTGATGGAATAAAGTGTTCACGTTTTCCTTTAATATCTACTTCAATTTACTTTCTTAATAAGAATGATACAAAATTACGGTATGATGATGAAAATATAAATTCAATATATATTTCTGTAATTCATTACTGAGTTTGAAGTATTCATCAAGTCAATAATTTGAATTATTCATTAAGGCAATAATCTCACTATTTTTTGTTTCTTTTTTTTTTTTTTAATAAATTATGTTGCTTATATGTTGTACTGTAGATTATAAAAGAAACAAAATCAATAGTTCTATTAAATGAAAAATAATGCAAATCTCTCAACCAGGGTTCCTTATTAACTGCTGTAGCCATAACCAAGCTTCACATTTTTCACCCAGAACAATAAATTGTGTTTACAGTCATGTTGAACTATATACTAATAGTTCAAAATCTTCTGAATTGGGAAAAAAGCACACTAAGCACCCAAACACCTTCAAATTGAATATAAATTTAATAACCCTGTAAGTATCACTTGAAAATGACCTTGTCAAGCATAGGGGTGTCACTGAGAAGTGACTGAAGCTGCCTATGGCAATTCTCGAGAACATTTTTATCCGAATGTTGATGATTTAAAACTACCTGTGTGTGACTATGATTGTCACTTTCTTTCTGGTTTTCTGATTTCCTTTTCTGGTCTTCGTAAAAGAGTTTCAAAGCATCAGTTGTCGAGAGTGACTGCACGTGCTCATGCAATTTCCGAAACTCGTTCATTGTTTCCTCTGTTTCGACTAATTTTTCCTTCAACCCATCAGGTAAACACATCATAGCGCTTGTGAAGTTGCAAAAAGAAAGAGAAAACACCACCATAAGGAAAAAGAAGTAGACAGAGGTGAGAGACTTTTGGATTCAAAATCAACGAAATTGGAATTTAAATTGTTTCATTTAATCTACCTGGTAATTCCCCTAACAAGACCCCAGTTGTATCCAGCTAAAACCGACTCCTTGAAGCCAATATTGAACCCCTCTTGTGCAGCAACCTCCTTTCCAGCAATGAGGCCATCACGATAGCCTATCTAGCTCAACGGAAAATCATAATGAACTTAATATGAGAAAATTGAGAATATAATGCACCAACAGCACTCATAAATGAAATTCTGTTAAATTCCCTCCAATCGGACACAATTAATAAATATGTTACCGTGTGGAATTGATTATGCCTCCTCTCCCACTCTCTCTCCATGTCGCGTGCTTTATCCAATCTCTCGACAGAATTTTCATAAGAGGATTCATCATCGTACCAACAATCGTCCGCATCACTTTCTGAGAGGAAATTGAAACAAAAGTAAGAAGACTGTACGTTGCGCAAATCCAACTAGACATAAAGTAAGAAGCTGAATGATATAAATGAAACTGAATTGAGCACACCATTTGGGTTGTTGGTTGCTTGGTCAGCAGTTGGTCTTCTATCTGACCCAACACTTGATGACTGCAAGATTTCTGAATATAGATCATGAGCAATACTCCCCTGAAGCTGTAAGAAAAAAAGGACGAAAAAAGAAAATGGAACAAAGAACAAAGAATAAGAAGAAAGAGAGCAGAAAAAAAAAAAAAA